TTGTATGTAGGCATCTTTCCCTGTGTATGTGCATATCTGGGTATCTATTGTCTTTGTAAGTGTTACTTACCGATTCAGTCACCCTTTTGTCCTCAGGACACTTCTGCATGTAAAAAGACTTGATAGGGGCAGGGAATCGACACAACAGTATAGGCTGCAAATAATTTTAAAAATGATTTATCATTTACTGTTTAATATATTGAAAATTTAATTGTAATACAAAAACATTTAAACATTTTGGTACAATAAATATCAAATTACCATGAAACAAAAGCAAAACAAAAGCAAGTTGAGAACAAATTAAGTTTTTATACAATTGTTGATAATAATTCTCAAACACTAACCTCATTAATTTTATCAGTCATCTTACGTTCAGGCATCTCAGGTATATCCTAAACGGAGAAGCAAATCAAAATGAATAATTTATAACATATGTTTCATTTGAATACCTGATGGAGACAACATATTCTCCCGTCTTTCTATTAAAAAATTGATTTAAAAAATCCTTAAGTTTACAAAGAAATTATGTCATTGATGTTATCAATGAACAAACAGTCGATTTTTTTTAAAAAGAAAAAAAGCATACTGTTCTTATTAAGCTGTCTGTTGTGATTTATTTTAATGCAGTGAGCCGTTTTATTTATTCATTACTAGCTCAATCCTCTCTTGCCATTAAATTCTTGAAGAGTGTAATTTCCAGTGTTTAGTGTTCTAAACCAGTTTATACACCTAGCACGGACTAGGCCGTAGCTAAGCCTAATTAGTAAGTAAAGTAAGCAAAAGAATTGCCAACATGTCTAATTTAAAAGGCATAGTAAAGTAACAGGGTACATAAGTGTCTCTTGGTACCTGAGCCCATGACCACACCTTCACAAAACAATAATATTTTTTAAGCTTACCTCTCCAAACTCGTAGAATGTTCCATCTTCCTTTTTGATATCGTTTTCTTTCAAGTACTTAATTGCATCTGCATAGTCCATACGTTTAAATGGACGTTTAGGAACAACAAAATTCTGTAAATAGAGGAATTTCAATTGTCAACACATGTACTAGCAACTATCATTTTCATATGCGAACCTAATACACATGTACCTATTGCAACTAGGTAATTCTGAAGTTATTTCAGACAATATAGAAAATAGCAACCAGAATTTCCTTCAAATATTGCCTACAGTGTCTTTGATTCTTAAATTATCCAATTATCTTACCTTAATGTAATCTTCACTGATATTAATATTATTAGTTATTATCATTATTTGTCATTATTATGATCAACAATATCAACACCATCACTATAACCACTATTGTATCTATATTTTTTCAAAATTTACATAAAAACCAACAGATAAATTGATACCGGGTGTAATTCTTTAATGTACTCGGCTTCCGGTGTCTTCATCACTCGCTCAGCTACATCGCAGACGAGATCCTCAATACGATCAAGCAGGTCATCAAATGTAATAAACGGACACTCCGCTTCAACATGGGTGTACCTAAAAAAACACAGAGATTTGTTGGGATACTAATAACAATCATGCTCTTAATACACCAATTTAAAATATGTGATCAAAAGACACAAAAAGTATTCAATATTGAAGATAATTTCTTTCAATTATTCATGACACAAACAAATATAAACTGGATTACATGCAAATCAATTACCTCAATAAAAGATAACTACATAAGAAAATTCTTAAGTTACGGAATTTGAAGTTGTAGCCCTGGCTATTTTCCAGATATAGTGGTATTGGCACAAAGTATATTACAAAGACACATACAGGTAGTTTTATAAATTTATTAATGTGCAGTTTGAGTGTGGGATTGTGCACTAACTTGTGAATTTTAGTATAGTATTGTTTTTAATTATTCTGAAAATACACTGTGTTGACACTAACATTGTGTGTGTCCAATACATCACTTACTCGGACAAATGACGGCGTGTACGCGACTGTTCCGCACGATATGATTGAGCCAAACAGAAGACATCTCCTAATGATGGTATAGCCGTCTCAAGGTACAGTTGAGAAGATTGTGTCAAGTAGGCCTAAATAGAACATAAAATTAGATTTAATTACAGTATCTATTCTTCTACAAACATGATGATGAATACACTGATATGATGATGATGATGATGATGATGACGATGAAATGTAGAAGGAACCCCCCCCCCCCCAATCAAAAAAACAGAAAAAAAAAAAAAATAATAATAATTGATCGCCCAAAACGCCTCAGATGTTATTGTCGGGCATCTACGAAACAAAAATTTTGTGGGGACCCTAGAGTAGTGTTATCTCTATCAGCCCCACTTTCGACCCCCCTCCCCCCACTTTTTGGACATCTCTGAATCTGTACCTGGATGTTGATGATGATAAGGATGACAACAATGATAATGATGATATGTATGCACATAAAAATTAAATATTTACCCTATTTACAACACAATAAAAATTACATTTATTCATCCCACATTGTGCAATTCAAAAATAAGGATTCGGATTAAATATAATTCTTTAGATTGCAAAATGTGCTGTATACATAAAATCAACATAATCATTAAACATTACCGTACCTCTTCTCCAAAGTATTTGAGTTTAAACAGTGTTGAACCACCTTCAACTTGGGTTTGCACAAGAGTTGGCGGACAAACCTTCAAGATAAAAAGACTGTATTTAGTATTAAAATATACTACCAATAGGCATATAAGTCTATGTGCCCAAGGGTTGATAGCCTTGATACTGTCCTCAAATTAGCACATAAGGGAGTTAAGAGCCCTCAAAAATTTATGGAAAAAACTTGCATAAACAAAGCATAAACAGTCCAATAAGCAATTAATATTAATAATAATAGGTTTATTATTATAATTTTCATAATGCTTTGAATTTCAAGTTTTGTGTAAGCTTTATGTTATAATATTGATGAATTTTGCAAAATAAAACAAGACAATTCCAAGTCCACTAAGTGGAAAATGTTACCATATTATATGAACTGAACAGTATTTGTCAATTGATGACTTTATAGTTAATGTTTATGACTTTATTTTGTAACGCAATAAACTTATTTACTCTTAAATAATATAAACAAAGTATTATTTTAATAATTATACATATTATTAGAACTCACCTCATAATATCCTTTATCAAAGTAGTGCTGACGGAAACTAAAGTAATTGGAAATTATAAGCAAAACATCTTGTAAATGTCAACAACTCCTTTTACTATATTACATTCATTTGTATAGTATTCATTTGTTCTAATTATACTAACAATACTTAACTGTTATATTGTTTGCTTGTTTGATGATATTTGATTTTATCAATGTTTGATGAATAAAATTACTGTTACTGTTCCACTGTTTTACTATTTCCTCAGCTAATTAAAGAATGCCTAAAACAATTGAACAAAATGGTTACAAAGTTAACATTGTTCCTTACCAAGCTGTTAGACTTGATCTCACTTTCATTATCTTGGAAAGCTAAGAAATGAAATTCATGACAAATACTAGTGATCATAACTCATGCAAGCAACAATAATACTTATAAGTTAATTGTGATATCATCACTGCAATCAGTGACGAATCCAAAAATTTGAAATAGAGGGGCCAGCCCAGAGAGGGACTTCACAGATGAAGGGTCTACACTATCTCAGCCCCACCATGGTTGGGGATGGAGTAAGAAAATTTATGATTATAGCACCTTTAGATGGCTGGAAATGGCAGACTCAAAATTTGAGTAGAATTTTCTTTTTTCTAAATTTTTTTTATTTCGAAAAATTTAGTGGGGCCCGGGCTGGCTGGACCCTTTGAATCCCTCACTGACAACTCCCAATGTTATTTCTCTATCCTCAACCATGCACTTATTTTTCATTCCGGCCTTTAGGAAATTTATTTGTGCATTAATTAATCTAACCTTCGTATAATAATTTCCACATAGTTATGATACACAACTATTTTAATTGCTTATTTTCTAATAGAATACGTTCAATTTATAAAAAATATGCCTGTGTTTGAGTTTTTTCACTAACTCAACAACTTTCACTCAACCAGCCCACCAGGGGTAACCCCTGCTCTTCTCAAGGATGTCCTGTGTTCTTTCAAGTGCACATGATTTAGTTTATGTACACTGGGCCTAAAGTTTATGGTCCTCATCAGAGATGACTGGATCCTACCACTCAAATCATGAGTGAAAAGGCTTAGAGTTATGGTGCCCTGATTTAACTGCTCTGACACAGGACTTGCTAAATTGTCACTTTGCAACTGTATGATCAATGAACTTTCTAAGGTTATCAATATTAGACTAAAATATTCAGACAACCAATGAACTTACTGTTTCTCCACGAAGCATCATGTGACGATTATCTAACTGAACATCAATATGCGATTCCTAAAAAATATTAAGAAAAGTTATGGATCAAGTTATAACAAAGTAGAGAGATTAAAATATAATTATGGTGTGTACATAAACTATTGATAGATATAAACGCAACTTAACATTATGCAGTTTTATAATAATAATTATTATTATTATACTAAAATTGTTTCAGACACTTTATGATAACCAAAAGGATGACAACTTACTTCATTGACAAGGTTATCAACTCCACCAGCAGGTGATGCTCCAACTAGCTCCCAATAGTCGCAGTCCAACTCATGACCTCCTGGTGCCTAGCAAATAGATATTAATAAATAATTTAATGGTAACAAAAATAGCAAGTGAAAATTATAATAGACTAAATGTAAAAATTTGTTAAAATCATTATCAAAGATCACCATAAAAATCACCATATTTATATTACAAAATATGTTGATGAAGGTATTTTATTAGGGGCAGCTTTTATAAAAAAAAATTTTCGATTTATTGTTTACAAACTTAAGTCATCTTTATTTTTCTCCCTAAGTTTGGTGTCTGATGTAAGGTATTGCTATTCTAGGCCTAAATTCATTACAAAATATTGATTATGTGTTATTTTTATTCAGTCTGATGAATACCATTTGAAAATTTTGGTGACAGAAGAAAAAACAAAAACAAAAACAAAAACTTTTTTGCGCCCGCCCCTCTTATAAAATTATACTGATGTGATCGTGAAGGTGATGATGAGGAGAGTGACAATGACAATGAAGAAGGTGGTGTCGGTGGTGATGATTATGATAATGAAGATGATATTGACGGGGAGAATGTTGGTGGTGGTGTAACCACAATAGGGATTATAAAAATGATCATGAAGATGGGATGATGACAATAAAGAAAATGTGATTATGAAGATAGGTTAATGTAAAAGATGATGATATAGATGATGATGATGATGACAATGACAAAGATGATTATGATGATCACCCTCTTCCTATATAGCAGTGCTTATGTATATTAACTTTACTAACCTCTTTGCCTTCTGGGACGGGTTTAATTACGCCATACAGGGTCACAGTGCTCTCTGTGGCAAGTATCAAAGCATTGTAAGTTTGACACTGAAAACAAAAAGAATACAGAATGTATATAAAAAACATTTAAACATGAACAGAGGTTTAGAATTATAATACTTTGATTTACACTCACTAGTTTATCATTAAGGACACATTGTAGAAATCCGGTGCCATCACGCAACACAAGGAACATCAAGGATTTTCCTGCGGAGAAATTACAAAATCAATAAAATAAGAAATATATGCATAAACCTGAATGATGAACTTTCTAAAAGTAAGAGTTTTCAATGGACATGCACATTCTACTTGGAAAATTATTAAAGTCAGACTCCGGAGGAAAACAATTTTTTGATATGTTGTAGAACTGATTTTTCCAAGACAGAAAAAAGTTGTTTGACCAAAAACTGGGGAACAGTGAACGAGCTACAGATTTTTGAATATTTAAAAACTGGGGGAAAAAGGGGCGTAACCACCCATTTTTACACCTTTTCCCCCAGTTTTTAAATATTCAAAAATCTGTATCTCATTCACCGTTGCTCAGTTTTTCGTCAAACATCTTTTTCTGTCTTAGAAAAATCAGTTCTACAACATATCAAAAATTTCTTTTCCTCCGGAGCCTGACTTTAAATCTCCTTTAAATTTATTGGACCATTTATCCACCAAGTGCAGACACTGCATGTGCTCTTGCCACCAGATAAAATGTAGAATCAATTGTGATGCCATGAATTTATTCCGTTCACAAGATCAACCAGATGATGATTATATATTTAATGTTCTATCAATGTTTAATTATTAGAACCATGAGAGTATACAGCATACTAAACCCTCATACCTTGTCTTCGTAGCCTATGTACCCATCCATTTACTTTGATGCGAACATCCCTCTTGTCTGCTGCATTGCGAATTTTAATCTGTAGAAATATAATTTGAGAAGAATATTTTAAAAGGGGAGTACAATACTGATTTATTTTATTCTTGAAAACCTCAAACATTTGTTAAACAAATTTTTAAATATTTAACCACCCTTTTCGAAATATTTACCCCCTCCACCCAAGTTTTTAAATACTCATTTATCTCATTATCCATTCCAAAGTTGTTTGCCAAACATCCTTCCTGTGCCTTCGAAAAATCAGTTCTACAACATATCAAAAATGTTTTTCCTCCAGAGCCTGCCTTTAAACCCATACTTCTTTATTGCCATTAAAACTTACAATAGCATATTTCTAATCTAAAATCTGAGATGATGTTAGTTAAAAAAAAATATGTATTCAGCAAACTGATGCTGAGAGATACTTAGCCGCCTGCGTTCATACGCAACTCGCCTTCACATTTAACGGGTATGAAGCCAGCGAGTCGCCTGCGGCCCTACGACCAACCCTCGTTCATGCTTTGTAAATTCAGTGTGTAGTTAGAAGGTCACTCGCTAATTTTGTTATGAACATTAAAGCCAAAGCCCAGCTCTTCCATCTTTGTAATTATCAGCCCGTAGGTTTGTGCGTTCCTCCTTGTCCCATCAAAACCTTCTTGTATCTGGGTAGACCCCTCCCCCCCCACACACTTATCAGGGCGAATGTTGCCTCTTCTGTCCAGACGTTTTTTCCGATTCATTTTAGGGGAATAGCGAAGTCCCGAGTAAATAAAGTTCAATAAAATATAATTTTGCGGTGTAGGAGCAATGCACGTGTTGACTCTTTGGAGAATTGAGAGAAAAGGAATAGGAATAATGCTTGGGAGGGCCCTTATTGCACTCGCAGCATGAGGTAGGCCTATTTTGGACATCCCTCGTCAGTAGGCCTAGGCCTGTAAAAGTCATTAATGCCATCACCGAGGTCACGAGGATTCGCCTCGGGCAACTTTTAACCGGCCAGTTTGGTGGGTTGGCTAACCTGCTTTTCGGCCAGATGTTTTTTTTAATTACCCCCATTCATACTACCTTTGAATTATATTCCCGCTAACATTCAACGGGTAATAACATAAGCATGAACGGGCCCAAGTTGATTGCCTTCAGGTAGATACAAATCAGATACTAGAAACAAGACATTAAAATTGATGGGTTGGCGTGGCTTGGTGTTGCACACAATTAAAGCAGCTTTTTAACTCTGCTTACTGGACAGTTTGAAATTATATGCTATCAATTAACATAGTATTTGTAGACAAACTGCCCATACAGGGACACTGGTCAAACACTCTAACTTAATGGTCAGCTTGTATTAGTTGACTCTAGGAGTAAGGTAGATTTTACGAGAGCTTTCTCACAGATCAAAAGCGTATTCTAGAATTAACCGATCAATCATGATTATTAATATGTAAGGTTAGTATGTTAGCCTAATTACAAGGTACAGGTACTGCACTTTGAGCTCTATGATTTGAAGGTGAACTCTTACCACCAATCTATATTATAATTGATGGCAACAAGTAGTATTCTTCTGCTAATGTAGCAGTGGAAACAGCAACTGGTCTTCCTTCAAGCATCCTAGCTCTTAAAATATTTTTTATTTCTTAGTTTACCTATCCATACAGCCTTGAGGTCTTTCAATTGCTTGGATATATTTACCAGTTCAGCTTTGGGTAAGCTGGGGTCTTCTTCAATTGTCACCTTCCTTGCTTCTTCTAGATTACGTTCCCGTTGCTCTGCTTTTTCTGCCTAAACACAAAATTTAATATTTAATGCGGTAGAAAAGCTGATAATGTATCAAGCCTGCAGCAATGCTATGTATCCTGATGAAAATATTAACATCTTGTCATGACCTACTTGGGAATGTACTGTATAACATAATAACTTTTAGATTGTATCATTAATCTATATATTGCATCATCAAATTGCATCATCTATGCAAACAATACAATATATTTACCAAGTGAATAAATATTAGTTTAGTCTGATTAGATAGAAGTGATACATACTTTTCAATTGTACTTTTAATCTATTTATTGCATCATCAAAAAAACTTACTTCTTTCTTTTCCCTGTCAGCCTGTTTTCGTTGCTCTGCAGCATAAATTTTTCCAACCTTCTTTCGTTGAGCTTGAGAAACATCTTCCCATTTCTAAAAAATCATTAAGAAATTAGTGGCTAAATTACAATTTAGTTTAATTACAAAACAACTTTCTCTTCTGAAATCTTTTTCTTCTAAAATTAAACAAACTGTTCGTATTGAATTCACTTTGCTTTAGAAAAATGAAAGATTGTGGTAAAAATGGGTAAGTGCATATATAGACATAAAGGGCCTTGGTTCAGTCTTAAATGGAATCACTACCTCAAACCATGTAATTATTTAATATATATTTGGCAAAATGTTAAATAAAAATATATATAGTAAAATAAACAATTACTCTTTTATATTTACATTATAAAAAAGTGAATTGCATTAGAGATATCATCAATGTTTATAAAGTATTTTGAATATTTTTAACAAATTATAACATTTTATTGTACAACTTACCTGTCCTTCTTTTGAAGAAGCCACCAGAAACTTGGGAAACGGTTCGCCTGATGCTCTCATTGCCTGTCAAGGAAATCATTGTATGATTGCTATAAATTTAATTATGTTTTAATCTGTGTGTGATATTTATTTCTATATAATAATACTTAAATAATATGTTGATCACATGTGCTACTGTATATCATATAATATGTTGATCACATGTACTGTACTACTGCATATCATAATATGTTGATCACATGTACTACTGTATATCATATAATATGTTGATCACATGTACTACTGTATATCATATAATATGTTGATCACATGTACTACTGTATATCATATAATATGTTGATCACATGTACTACTGTATATCATAATATGTTGATCACATGTACTACTGTATATCATATAATATGTTGATCACATGTACTACTGTATATCATATAATATGTTGATCACATGTACTACTGTATATCATATAATATGTTGATCACATCTACTGTATATCATATAATATGTTGATCACATGTACTACTGTATATCATATAATATGTTGATCACATGTACTACTGTATATCATATAATATGTTGATCACATGTACTACTGTATATCATATAATGTCTAAAGCCTTGTCCAGACTACCAAATGTTATTTAACAAAAACATGTGACATGCCTAAATATGGTCATCATGACACAGCATCATGACTATATATGGGCATACAATAATTTTATTGTAAAAGAAAATTTTGATAAGATTATTTAATTGAGCATGCACCACACACCATATGCATAAAAATCGCAAAAGCTGGTGGGGCAGTAGCTTTCAACAATTAAGTTTGCTCCTAAACTAAAACCCTGGACTTCAAGTAGAGAGCCTTAATCGCCACTGCAGTCATTTGAAATGAACATAATCATCCGGATAAATCCATTTCTATAATAAGACCATGCCGTTACGGTTTCTGACGTCAATTTCAACACATTACAAATCCACATATTTGGACAAAATGGGTACATATTTGCCAATACAGTAGTAATATAATGTGCAATGTTATTGACTCAGATTTGACCATCAGATTAGCTAGAGTAATGCAAAAAATATAATCTCCTTTCCAAGTGGGTAAATAGTAATGATTTGTTCAACATTCTGTACAGTATGTGCAAGTTACTCATTTTAAAATAATAACAAAATAATATCTTATCATTACTGAAGTAAAATTAGATAATTCCAACGTCACCTGTATTAGCGTTTTGAAAGGTTTCTGTTCAGAGCCATCCCCTGCTTCATCGCTCCCCTCTTTGTCTGAGATGTACATTGGTGACTTTTCTTCTGAAATGATATAAAATATATCTCAACAATTATTACAGATTACATGGTGGCTACATCACATTCACAGTTTTAGAAACTAAGGTCAACATTTCATATGTGACTTTTATATGGTGGCAATTACTATAACTATCAGGTAGGAAACTGTGAAAGGGAATTTTGGCAAGTCTGAATGGTCTAGGCCTCTTCAACTGAAAATAGTTACCAACTGTCTCGCATCGTGTCCATTTCAAAGTGATTTTGGATGCAACACGCATTTTGCAGAAAAACATGCGTGATCAGAAACTTGTCATGCATTTAGCACAGGTCTATGCCTGATAATAAATTTATTACGAATTCAGGGGAAAATGTATTTAAAATTAAAAGGAATTGGTTTTATTAAAAATATAAAAACGGTCATGCAGTAAATTTAGTCATTAGACAGTATTTTTGTGAATACTTAATTCTTCACAGACGCGTTACTAAAAATTGATCAGTATGACTATTCATGTTTTGTTTGTTTAAGTAATAAAATATTTGTGTACATAGTTTGGGTGCTCAAATTAAACGTAATGTACATTGAAACTCAAATTGTATGTGGCTTTATTAAAAATATTTTTGTTTTGTACTGTACCCACCCGGTATTGTCAACAAACATGAAATTGTTTTAAAACAGCTTAAAAATGCTGAGATCGTCAGAGCGCCAGGGGCCCTGACTCACACCAGCGAAATACACAATGTCTAATACACATTGCCATAATCATATCATGATCATATCTTAGAACCAATGCAATATTATTTATTAAGGGCACATAGAAAAAATTATTAGATTATCACTCTTTTTTTAAAAAAAATTGATGAGGGAGGGCGGTTTTTTTTTAAATCGGAACAATAGATTATTTCGCTTTTGTTTTTATCGAAGACGGAGGGACTGTTTATATTTGGTCTGTCATGAGTAAATATTGTATAAAAACTGTTTCAATTTTAAAGTTTTCAAAAAAAAAGTATTTGAAGTCACAAAATTGCATTGTTATTTTTATGCTGTTGAAATAATTAATGCAGAAAATTTTTTTTTTTTAAATTCCCGCATCAATATTTCCCGAATTTTTGATGCGGGCGGGAGTGATAATCTAATAAATTTTTCTATTTGCCCTAATAAGATAACATACAAAAAAAGAAAATGTTATATCATGGAATTTATAATATATAAAATTCAAATTACAAAATAAATTCAGGGCTAGAGCCTACCTCCATCAAGGGCATTCACTACACAGCTAAATAAAAACAGTGCTCTTATCCCGGATTTGACTACGGCTTTTTCTATGATTGTTAATCTCTACTACTATCTACAGTACTGTACTACTGCTACTATAGCTTTGTTATAATAGTCAGGGACAATCTCCAGCCAGGTGAATAAAGGCGTGTTGGGCCTAGCTAGCTGCCATTAAAAAAACATCGACCGGGCCTACAAGATAGGAGGGGTGCACGTATGACATTCTACTCACCTAAACTCATTTTAGCTGTTGCATCAGTTACGCCTGACATGTTTCTTGTATCCTATATGCGAGAGAGTGTGAAAAGTAACTTAAAACACTCTTTATTTATGTATTAAACGGTTACCATCTGCTACTGGAAGTTGCATCAGATCATGCCGCAACCGCACACTCGAAAGGTTTATGTTTAGGGGCTCTGTCCAGACGTCTTGTAATGCACTGTTATCAGACCTTTAGCTCTTGATTCGTATTGATAAAGTACAAACAAATAAATATTTAGTATATTGCTTGTATTATCTCAATCATACGAAAGCCCATTAGTGCCAATAAAGTATATGTTCAGTAATTACGAATTAACTAATTCGTTATTACGGATTACTAATCCGTAATTACGAATTACTAATTCGTTATTACGGATTACTAATCCGTAATCTCGAATTAGTAATCCGTAATAAGGAATTACTAATTCGTTATTACGGATTAGTAATGTGACATTGTTGAAAGTAGTACACTTTATATTTCTGTATTATGTTAAATTAATTAGTTTTGATCATTTTTGGAGACGAAACGTTGACAATTGAACGATACACTTGTATGTGTTATGTATGTTATACAATGTTCAAGTTGTAAAGAAAATAACAATTATTGACGAAAGAACATGAATTGATGTGTACGGGGTTTTTTTTCTTAAATAATTGTGCCTAACGTATTCTTTTACATTATTTGAGATTGAACGAGCGGTAACGTTCCTGCTTCTTGCATTGTTGACCCCGGTACAAACCCAAAAAATGCATTTATATAATGTGAATTTCTTAGCATGTAAAAAAAGTAGAATATTGCCCTGTGTAGAGCAACAAGACACAGTTTTTTGAAAGAAAACACTGTAGAACAAAAATAGGCTATCAACCGCCACAATATAATAAATCATAATTTCAAATCAAGCTTCAGAATGCAGGACTCGCAAAATATCGTATACATTAATCGGCTCTCTCAGTCCATGGACATTCAAATATCGAGGATGTCAGTCATTTGGATATTCAAGATGACCACCACAAAAATCGTTGAAAATTAAATATTTTGGTATATAATTCCACCTCTCTGGTGTCTAACTATATGTTATTGGGGTCACTTAATTCAGTGAGAATTTTTCAAAATGGTAGGATGACAGCCATTTTGAAATTCAAGATGGCTGCCCTAATATTTCATTTTTAAAAAAAATTTTACTTTTTATTGGAAAATAGCTTTTTGAAACTATGTTTATTGGACTAGGATGGCTAAATAACATCTGCTTTGACAACTTTAGGCTTACCATTTCTGATCGAGGAGAAGTGGAATTATTATACCAAAATATTTGAATTTTGACGATTTTTGTGGCGGCCATTTTGAATTTCAAATTGCCTGACATCCTACCTTTTTGAAACTATGTTTATTAGACTCAGAGAGCCCAATAACATATGATTGCACACCAAATTTACCATTTTTTATCGTGGAGAAGTGGATATATACCAATATTTTCAACGATTTTTGTGGTGGCCATCTTCAATTTCAAAATGGCTGACATCCTATATTTTTGAAACTATGTCCATTGGACTCAGATAGCCGATTAATATATGATTATACACCAAATTTACCATTTTTGATCGAAGAGAATTGGAATTATATACCAAAATATTTGCTTTTCGACGATTTATGTGGCAGCCATCTTGAATTTCAAATGGCTGCCATCCTAGCTTAAAGAAACTATGATTATTCGACTCAGAAAGCCCAATAACACAGGTTAAACATCAATTTTACGATTTTTCAACGAGAAGAAATGGAATTATACTGTGGAACATTTAATTTTCGACAATGACAGCAGCCATCTTCAATTTTAAAATGGCTGCCATCATAGGTTTTTGAAACATGTCTCATTGAATTCAGTGACCCCAATAACATATAGTTAGACAACAGACTTACGTTTTTTCATTGATTAGAAGTAAAGTTATGAACCAATATCTGAATTTTGGCAGCCATATTAAAAACGGCTGCTAAAAACATGTTCCGCCCTTTTTCTCGAGGTACCCCCCTCCCGCTCAATTTTTTATTTATACACTAGTGATGCCAAATCAGCAGAGAAACCTTGGTCCCCGCAAAATGTTCACAATAATAATAATAATAATAATAATAATAATAATAATAATAATTTGAATATTTATTAAGCGCTCTTATATATGCAAGATTAATAATCCGTAATAACGAATTAGTTAATTCGTTATTACGGATTACTAATTCGTTATTACGAATTAGTAATTCGTTATTACGGATTACTGAACATATACTTTATTGGCACTAATGGGCTTTCGTACAATCATGTATTTCACTTTGAATATTAATGCACCAGCAAACAACTCAAGGGTAATATTGGGCTTTAGCAAAAATAAAAAATAAAAAGCCTCCTTCCCTGGCCATTTTCCAGCCTAGATAGGATGATAAATGAATTATATTTCATGGTCTCCGTGGTCTAATGGTTGTAACGCTCGCCTTGACATCGAGAGGACGCAAGTTTGAGAACCGTCAGAAGCATTTTATTCTACAATTTCTTTATTCATATATTTTACAGGACTACATTCGTTGAGAGCTATGCTACACCATGTATTATTATGTCATATACATACATATGATATATATATATATATATATATACACTGTATATATGTATATATATAAGTATTATATATATGTATTATATATATAATACATATATATACAGTAATATATATATATATATATATATATGTATATATATATATTTTATAATATAAATCAAGATAGCCGTTAACACTGTTAAATTATATATATAAATCATCAAAGAAAGGTAAATACAGTGTTCGAATAAAGGACATAATAATACATCGTGTAGCGTAGCTCTCAACGAATGTAGTCCTGTAAATAAATGAATAAAGAAATTGTGTAATAAAATGCCTCTGGCGGGACTCGAACCTGCGACCTCTCGCTGTCAATAATATAAATCAAGATAGCCGTTAACACTGTTAAATTATATATATAAATCATCAAAGAAAGGTAAATACAGTGTTGAGAGCTATGCTACACCATGTATTATTATGTCATATACATACATATGATATATATATATATATATATATATATACACTGTATATATGTATATATAT